GTTAAATTTAATTTTGCCGTTTTGTAAGCCAGTTGAAGCATTTTGCACGACGTCCAATCTAATTATTTTATTTTCATTATCAAGATTTAAAAATTTTGTATTTGAAAACTGAGATGGGTTGCTGGTAAATTTTTTAAAAAAATTCCTTTTAAAAAATTTTCGTTTGCTTTGTATTTTATATATCATTATATATATCTTTAATTTATATTGCATTATATACATTTTTATTTTATATTACATATGTATTACTTGATATTCTAGGAAGTTTTATTATTGAAATTAGTCAGTAGAGCAAGTTATATTGTAAACAGTAAAAGTTAATAACTATACAAAAAGCATTTTTTTTTATAAGCTTAAACATAAAAATAGATCGGAAATAATAACCACCACTTAACTAATGCTGCTACTCAATGTGAATGATCTAATAGTATTTGTGATCAAACTGATTTAAATAATGAAATTATTGCTAATGATTTGATTCGACTACAGAATGAATATTCGTACACTGTGATACCGTTGCAGTCTAGAACCGGTGGGATGAGTATCGGGACGGCCCTGTAGTTACTCAAGCGCCACCTTTGCTTTGCAACTTGGTAAACCAACAATAAAATAAATCTAAAATAGCACAGAAGTAAGCAACCGGAAAATTTCCATCATCAATACTTACTCAAAATAAACATTTGTTACAAAACGCAGAGCTATAAGCGATAAGCAGAGAGCTCGCAGCACTTAACTATACTCAATACTCAATAAACATTTGTATAAATTTGTATTTATTTGTTCTCATTTGAATTGCTTCAGATAGATCAAACTTTGAAATTGCTTCAGATAGATATAGTATGAACAAAAGTAATAATACTTACTAAGGATAATACTAAGAGCATTTATGAAAATGTTCTGAGCAAAAAAAAAAAACATTATAAGACTGTGATCTAGTGGTCCTGCTAATTTTTTATTTTTGTGTCAATGCTAAATAATTAATGCTAACTAAGTTATAAATCAGACATAAAATGTATTTTTGAAGATGCATTCATTTTTTATGGTTACGATGAAGAATTTCTATAGTTGAAAGTTATAAAAAAATATATATTCTATAAAATCTGCACAATTTTATCTGTTGGGACATTCAAAGTTTGTCTTCAATGATATTAATTATACTCTTCACCTAGAAAACATATTCTTAAATTGCCATGCCTTGTGCAAACCAAGACGTTTTGTGCATAAATTTTAAACTTCCTTAAATATTTACCTATACCAGAAAAAAAATATTATTTTCAACCCAATTTATTAAACATCAAGATTCTGTAATTTATGTCTTAACTATATTTTTTTTAAATCGTTTTAAAAAATTAAAAAGTATGAGTTAATATTTAATCTGAGAAAAATATAACTCTTATGAATCACTGTTAAGGAAATAAAAACATCGAAACCTGCTTGCAAGAGAAAACTGTAAAGTTTAAACATGGATGAATTTAAAGCAATTACCAGAAATTTTTTCATCTAGTAATCAAACTGTGTTATATGCCATTCTTCATTAATAGTGATTTATCAAATTAAATAATATTTTTTTGTCCTTTGCTTAAATATAAACAGTGTTTTCATTACAGAAAAAAAAAAAAAATGGAAGAAAATTTCTCATCCTTTCTCAAAAACTGAGTGAGATTTCAAAAAGTTAAGTGAGATTTCTAAAAACTAAAAAACACGAATAGACTTGGAGAAAAAATATTTCTTTAATTATAATACAATTTTAACATCTTCTAATTTCTAAACCATTGAATATTTTTGCTGCATCATCATATGGAAAATATTCTATGTCTACTTTTTTATCAGCTATTCTCATTAGGTTGCTCATATGCTCATCAGTCAATCTGTTACGATATTTTGTTTTAGTTCAGTTTTGGGTGCTATATGACGTTGCAACAGATGCTGAACTATTCGGAATCACTAATTAAATTTTTAGCATTGTGCACACACTTTCCTATCCTCTACATCTGCCAGCATAGGCTTTTCAATTATTTCTGTTATAGAACAGTGAAGTTCATTGAAGTTATTTCCATGTTCATACTTCTTGTTAGGTCTTCCAGCATAGTTTTCAGCTGTAAATTGTCGATGCTGCAAATTGCTGTAAATTGTCGATGAGGGAGTTTGGTAATTCATTAACAGCTAAAATTAGAGCTTACATTAAATAACTTATTATAAAGGTCTCATTTTTTTTTTTACATTTTTTATTACAACTAAAATTAGAGCTAACTTTAAATAACTTATTAAAAAAGGACTCATTTTTTTTTTCTCAACACTTGTCGTAGCTGTTTTCATGTCAAAATGGCGGAAGACTAATTTTTTGCCAAAATTCGGGAGATTCGCGCGTTTTAAAATTTATTAATCAAGTGTGCTAACTTCTCGCATTAATAATTTTTTAATGCGAGATTCTCACATTCTCGAGCTGTAGTGAAAACACTGATATAAATTTGAGATCCATAATGTGTATGCATTTTCTTACTTTTGATTAGGATTCCAAAAGTATATACTATAGGCCAGGGGTGGCGAACCTTCATTCACCAACGTGCCATTTTTTCTAAACTATATTGCAATGAGGTCATAGACGTGCCGACAAATAGTTTTGACTTCGTGATTATTGGGTAAATAATAATACTAAATTTTATCAACTCAAAACTCTTTATTTACTTACGAAAAAATGCAATTCTCAACTTTTGCAATGTCTCAGTTATACGCGTAATTCAACTTAAAGTAACATCAGTGTGACTTCTGTTGTTGCAGATTAGATGACAAATAACTTCTATTAGGGTTATAAGATGTTAAGTTTAAGCAGAACTGTTAACTTTTTTTGCTAGTTATTTATTGTTCGCTTGTTTTTTTGTGGTTATTAATTGCTTTTTTGGCATTAATTGTTCTTTTTTTTGTGAATTTTAATTGAATTGTTACTATGCTTCATAGTAAACTCTATGATCGGTGGCGTGCCCAAAATATTGCGTCGCGTGCCATAAGTGGCACGCGTGCCACTGGTTCGCCATCCCTGCTATAGGCTGTGCTTATTAAGGGTCTCTAATAATTACTAAATCCTCTAAGACTTATATGAGGCAAAATTGTTCAAAAATATTTTTGTGGTGCTGTTCTTTTCTATTAAATAGCAAAGGAAAAAAATATTTTATTTTTAAAAAAAAAAACAATATTAAATGTTCAGATTGTTAAGTTTTGCAATACATCCTTTTGTGTTATTTAAATATTCATTCTCNTGTTGTTGTTGTTGTAGTTAATTTACGTCGCACTAGAGCTGCACAATGGGCTATTGGCGACGGTCTGGGAAACATCCTTGAGGATGATCCGAAGACATGCCATCACAAGTTTGATCCTCTGCAGAGAGGATGGCACCCCCGCTTCGGTAGCCCAACAACCTACACGCAAAGTCGAACACTTTACGGTAGCACAGTTTAACGAGGACCAATACCGCACACTCTCGGTCCCTACGCAGACTAATCCAAGTGGGTCACCCATCCGCACACTGACCGCAGCCAGTGATGCTTGACTTTGGTGATCTGCTGGGAACCGTGTCTTAACGATCAGTCCACTGCGGGACCGACTACAGAATGAATATTCGTACACTGTGATACCTTTGCAATCTAGAACCGGTTGGATGACTTACCCAAAAACAATAACAGTTTAGGGAAAAGTATCTGGACGGCCCTGTAGTTAAGCGCTACCTTTGCTTTGCCACTTGGTAAATCAATAATAAAAATGTATCTAGAATAGCACAGAAGTAGGCAACCGGAAAATTTCCATCATCAATACTTACTCAACAGTAATAAACATTTGTATAAATTTGTATTCGAAATTTGTTTTTATTTGTTAGATAGATGAATTGCTTTAGATAGATCAAACTTTGAAATTGCTTCAGATAGATATAGTATGAACAAAAGTAATAGTACTTACTAAGAATAATACTAAAAGCATTTATGAAAATGTTCGGAGTATTTTGTAAACAGTTAGCAAAAAAAGAACATTATAAGAGTGTGATCTAGTGATCCTGTATTTTTTTTATTTGTGTGTCAATGCTAAATAATTAATGTTAACTAAGTTATAAATCAGACATAAAATGTAATTTTGAAGATGCATTCATTTTTTATGTTTACGATTAAGAATTTCTATAGTTAAAAGTTATAAAAATATATATATTCTATAAAATCTGCGCAATTTTATCTGTAGGGACATTCAAAGTTTGACTCCAATGATATTAATTATACTCCTCACCTGGAAAGCATATTATTAATTAGTCGTGCCTAGTGCTAACCAAGACTTTTCGTGCATAAATTTTAAACTTCTTTATATATTTACCTGTACCAGAAAAAAAAATTATTATTTTCAACCCGATTTATTAAACATCAAGATTGTGTAATTTATGTCGTAACTGTATTTTTTTGAAATCGTTTTAAAAAATTAAAAAGTATGAGTTAATGTTTAATCTGAGAAAAATGTAACAATCTTATGAATCACTGTTAAGGAAACAAAAACATCAAAACCTGCTGGTAAGAGAAAACTGTAAATTCAAACATGGATGAATTTAAAGCAATTACCAGAACTTTTTTCATCTAGTAATCAAACTGTTTTATATGTTTTTAATCCATTCTTCATTAATAATGATTTATCAAATTTTGGTAATACTTTTTTTTTTCTTTGCTTAAATATAAATTTGAGACCTATAATGTGTATGCATTTTCTTACTTTTGATTAGAATACCAAAAGTATGTACTATAGGCTGTTCTTATTAAGTGTCTCTAATAATTACTAAATCCTCTAAGAGTTAAATAAGGCAAAATTGTTCAAAAATATTTCTGTGATGCTGTTCTTTTCCATTGAATAGCAAAAGAAAAAAAGATTTTATTTTTTTTTTAAAAAAAAAGGACTAGTTATTAAAAGCTCAGATTGTTAAGTTTTACAATACATATCTTTTTGTGTTATTTAAATATTCATTCTTTCATTTTCAGAAATTTAATGACTTAGGTGCTACAGTAGAATGGGTAGATGCTACAAAAATGATTGAAGAAATGCGAGTGGACGTTCAGAATGTCTTATCTTGGAAAAAACTAGCTGTTGAAGTAACTATTTAATATATTTTATAGCACTCCTTTCCTTTATTACCAAAGCTATATTTGACTACAAACAGGGCTGAACTTTTACTTATGATAATGTCGAATTTTTATCATCATATTTTATGCTCTTAATGGGAAAAAGTTTAAAGGAATACTTAATTTCTTACCTTTTTTATAAATTTAGATGGATTTCCTTTTTTATTAAAAAAGATAATTAGAAAAAATATAATTATTGAAATTTATTTCTGTTCCAAAAAATTAAATAATCATTAATTTCTATACCTACATCATCTGAACTTTTGAAGCAACTGTGATAGCAAGCCTACTTGTGTCTGAAAAATTGGTTTTGACCTTGCATCAGTGGGATTGTATGTTATGGAAATCTGTATTTGCAAATAGCAAGTTAATATAAATATGGCTACATTTTGTAAAAAATTTTAAAAAAAAATTTTGGGAATAGTGAAATACTTAAAGAATATGTGCATGTTAATGCAATTGAAGGGAACATATTTTACTCTATGAATTTTCATAGAACTTCATTGTTCAGTGTTATGTATTTCATTGTTGTCTCTAATCCTTTTCTGAATTTCATCAAGTTGTTGACTTTTAAAAAGTTGATAACAGTCAAGGGATCTGATGTTATATTCTTTCTTGTAAGTTCAATTTAGTTTTTTAAACCATCATAAATATAGGTGAAAATTAAGTTCTCTAGCATTGCCTGAAATAGTGACTACATTTCAAACATAGCTAGTAGTCACTCTATAAATAAAAATAATTCTAGTCAACTACAAAAAAATTTAGGTTTTTCCGACCACTGATTTTGTTTTATTTATTTGTGTTTACAGAATTACAATTATTTTTCACTTGTACTTAATATGTAGTACTTAGATCATTAAGAATAAATTTGTGTAAAATTTTGAGTATTTTACTTTTTTATCAAAATTAAACACTTACAAGGGGAAAAAAGTGAGCTATTATAATGCTATCAATCCTGAAAAGATATTGTGTGCCTAATTTTAATTAAATGGAAAAGAAAGTTCTATTTATAATAAATTAGTACAATATTAAATTGTCTATTTTAAATAGCTTAGAAGTTTTATGAGAAATTTACAAGTTTATAATTTTCTAACATAATATTTATTATTGCTCTACATCATTCCACTTTTCTATGTAAACCTTTCCAATTGATGCAGCAGAACCTTGATTATCAAAATCGCCGATTGATTTGTAGTTTATAACATTTTACTAAGTGCACAAACACTGATTTATTATGAAGGTGCTATACCTGAAGCTAATAATAAAAAGAGTCAAATGTATAATTAAATATTGCTTTTTAATACTAAATCACCATTCATATTTTTATACTTTATAAATCGTACATGTTAAATGATTTGAACATTGTAATTTATGTGAATAATGATCACTGATTAAGCATTGGAACTCCTATATGAGAAGTTTAAAAATTACTCATTGTGATTTGTATTCATTTGATTTAAGAATCATAGCCAGTAATTTATGAGTTGGAAATCAGAATATAGCAAAAAATAATGGTTGAGTTTTTAGCAAACTTTACAAGTAGGTTTGGTAGCAAGTCAAGAAATGTCTGGAATAATTCGGGTTCTACTGTTCTTTTATTTCTCGCAGAAAAAAAATTAAACCTAAAATGTATGTATTCATATTTTGTGCCTTATGTGGATTTTTTTCCCTTTCTCAGCGAATTGCAGAAGTGGCAGAACATGCAGCTGCTGGATATCAATTTGATAAAAATATTAAAGTTAGTAATAGTTACATTTTTCATTATTATTCCATGATTATTTCGAATGTTTATTAGGCTTCTTTCTTGTATCTTGTTTTAAACTTAAGCACATTATTATAAATTTATTGAAAAATTTATTAAAAAAAACATGAAGTTATTGTTTACTAACTTTAAATAAAATAAAAACTGATTAAAGGTTTTATAAAGTTTAAAGTTCAGCTGACTTATCATTATTTTATCTCCTATGTACTTTTAAATGACCAACTTAAATTTATTAAAAAATTTTTAACTACCTTTTATGGCATTTCAAGCATTAAAACTGCTAAGTATTTTTTTTTATCATTTTAAGAGCTTTTAGAGAAATTAGAATGATTTTACATTTAAAAAAAAATATTTAATTGAAATTAAAAAAGTATTTTCTGAATCTAAAAACTTTTTTTAAAAAAGGAAAATAATGATCTTCTCAAGTTTATTTCCCGAGTCACTTTGGTTTTAGATTCAATAAATATTTCTTGAAAGTAAGGAGAAAAGTTAATTCAGCTGGTATTAATTTGACTCCTTAGGGCAAATAAAAACAAAGCTTCAGCAAATATGCTAAAAAAAAATTAAAAAAAACGTAAGCTGAGTGGGCTAATTTTTTTATCTTGAAAGGATTTAAAGATTAGATCGGAAATGTCTAAAGGCATTAGTAGAAAATTGATGATACTTTTTATATTAAAGTCCTCGTGTATTTATTATGTAATTAAAATATCGGTTATAAGGAGCTTAATTTTTATACCATGCACATTTAGAACAAAAATGTTAAATAAAAAATATATTTTGCATTGTCAAGGGTATGTATTATGATGCTTATGGATATTTTAATAGATAAATCTTTATTTGTACTTCCTGAAATGAAAAAGCTTCTTTGTTTTATTTTAAAACATTTATTGTATGTTTCTTAAATGTTTCTATCTCTTTTTATTTTCATTAATATTATTTAAACATTGTTATTCTACATTTAAAAAAAGTGTTGCTTTGTTTAACATTAAATTCTATTTAAGGATGATATTTATCAAGCATATATCTCTTTTAACAAACTTTTATTTCGATTTAGGAATGTCTCTCTTTCGCAGTAAAAAAAAAAAAAATTCCCTCCTATCTTTTATCAGCCTTTGCAAAGCTTGTTCTCTAAATGTTTTGAGATTTACAAGTTAATTTTTAGCAGCTGATTGCCATGTTTGAGGGAATTTTGATTTAAGATTTAATTTTTTTTAATTTGACTTTATTTTCCTGATATTTTTACTTTATTTTCCTGTTAACATATGTGATTAGTTTGATAAAATTTAAGAAAAAAAAATCAAATTAGAGATCTTAACACAGCATTTATAAAGGGTTCAAATATTGTTTTTCCACACATTCTGTTTAATGATGCTTTCTTAAGTTTGTTAGATAAAAAACAAACCATATACAATAAAGTAAATTTTTGTCATTTCAGCATGAATATTATAATGCTCGAATGGAAGAGAAAGAGGTTGAAATAGAAAATAATGAAATTGATTCTAATGATGTAGTAACTAAAAGAAAGCCCAAAAAGAGTATTAGAGATCTAGATATGAAACCGCACAGAAATTTTGCTAATGCTCCTGTAAATTTTAAACATAGCTCTGTTCATGTACCTACAAATGTTTATGATAAAGGTAATATAAACATTCCGCATTTTTTAACTGAAGTTTTTTAAATAAATGTTGTTGTTTTTCCTACACATAATATTGTAGTCATCTCTACTTTATTTTACATGTAACTAATTATAAATAAAAAACATGTAACTTATATTAAAGAAGTAAAAATCATTAATAATAATTTTTATTTCTTAGATATAAATAGATTTTACTGCCTGTCCACCATTAGAAGACTATTTATTTTCAAACAACTTTTGTGACTGGAATTTCATTTTGCTAAACTGTCCTCATTGGCACAAAGCTTTCTTCAAGCTTACTATCATTTCTTTTATCTTCCTTAGGTTTTAGTTGCGTAATATTCGGTTGGCCGAATACTTTGCCAAATATTCGGCAAAGTATTATCTGGAAAATTATTTTTCAATAAAGTGTGTTTTTTTTTTTTTTTTTTTTTTTTTTTTTTTTNTTTTTCTTTTTGGAAGAGGAAGGGTAATTTGAATAGATTTAATAAAGAATTATCTGAAATCGAATTTTTTACTAAACCTTATTTAAAGATATTTTTACGCGTATTTGTAAGTTCAAATTAAGTTAGTTAGTATATGTTCTAAAAGACATATGGAAAAACGAAATGTGAAGAATCGAACTAGATTACTTTATACTGAACCAGGAGTTTTGTAATGCTGATTGTTTCTTCTTTTTTATATTTACATTCAGGCAAATCAGTTTTGTCGTGTTTTCAACATTTTGTGTCTTAAAAATTGAGAACTTTTTTTCTTAATTTTTCATTTTAGTCTTTTTTTTTCTGTATTAACTATATCACAGCATTTTAACATTGCATTTCCAATAGACTTAATTCTTTTATTGTCGCTTTTTTCCTGTACAATAAGACAGATAACCAATGACATGGAAAACTGTTATTCCCAACGTTAAAGTTATATTTCAGAATTAAGAAGAAAAAACATTTCTGCTTCTCTTTTGCTAACTTTCATATTTATCGTCATTTTTATTATTACAGCATTTTTTAAAGAGCATCTCTAATGAACGTTATTCTTTTATGGTCACTTTTTTGTAAGAAAGTTAAATTGAGAATTTTAGTATTAAATCTTTCATTTAAAAATTAGAACAATTTTTGTTTTGGCTTCTATCTAGCTTTTTCAAAAATATTTTTGTTTTTATTATGGCACAACAATTAAGAGTATTTCTATTAGTCTTTAAACTTCATTTTTTCTTGAAAATAAGGTAATTGGAAAACTGAGATGCTTAGCTTTAAAATTTTCTTTCAAAAAGTCATCGATTTTTCTTTGAGAAATCATCGAATTTTATTTTTTCGGTTTTGCTTTTTTCTATAACCTTCTTTCATATGGGCGTTTTTATGATACTGGTGCTTTTTTTAAACGTTTCTGATAAAGTTTTTTTCTCTTTCAACGTATTACAGATAATTTTTTCTGGAAAATATTATTTTTAGCATTAAAATTTTGTTTTAAAAATGAAGACAATATTTTTTTTCTATTTTTTATCAACTTTGCAACTTTAGTTTTTTTAGTAACTGTTAGAGAGTTGTTTTTTTTATCTTAAATGTTTTTGATTTTTTTAATATCTAATTATCTTTATTATCTTAAGCATTTTTATTGAAGTTTTTTTCCCTTTACCTCATACTAATAATACAGCTAAATATTGATTATTTTTCAATAAGGACTATATTTATTTATAAAAACTATCATTTATTAATAATTTTGAGAAAAGGTTACTATTTTGGCGCCGAATATTCGGTATTTGGCCAATATTTTTAGCGAAACGTTTGGTATTCGGCCAAATCACTATTCATTACATCCTTAGTTTTTACATAACCACTACTTTAATTAAATGACTTGTACCGTCTTTTGACTTTCAATCAACTTATTCTTGTTATATTATAGACTATTGTCATATTGTACTTATTTACCAATTGAACTTACTCAAAAACTTTTACTACCAATTGTAATGGTATGTTACTGGTACTTTTGAATTTAAAACCTTTTAAACTAAGCTACCTGTACTCTACTATAATTTAACTTTCAATAATATTCAAATGGTGGTAGAGAGATTACTTTTGTCGTAATTCGTTAATAATTAAACTTACTTGAAAACTTCTACTTCCAATTAAAGTGGTACTTTATTGGTATTTTTAAATTAAAAAATAAAAAACTTTTGAACTTCCTTTAAAATTACTTACTAATACCATGATTTAACTTTCATCTGTCTTCTTAGGTACAGCGGGCAGTATATTTCTGCCTTATTTTCTTTATGCCCTAATTAAATTTTCACAAAATCTTTTTCTATTAATTTACTACCGAAAGAATAAAAAAATGTAACCAAGTTTTTATCAAAACCTGATTTACTTAAGAAACATTTTTATCCTATGACTCTATAATAAATTGTAAACGTTAAAAAATACTTTATGATTGCTTTTGTTATAATCGGCAAATTTCCACTTTCAGTTAGATATCTTCAAATGGTTGGACTTGAATAGCCATAAATATTAGGCATAATAAAATGTTACTTCTTGATTAGATTGTAATTTTTATTTTATTAAACAAAATCATCTCTTTTTTTTTAAGCTGAGTCTTTTTCCATTTATTTGATTTTTGAGGAATGTTTTAACTATTTTTAAAGCTTCTCAAAACCTCCTTCTTTTGGAATTTTTTACTTTTCAATTTTAGTTATATTTTGTTTTTAGTGGATATTTTTGTTACATTAATATTTTCATCTTTAGATCCCAAGGTTCTCAACTCCATAAAATGGTCAGAATATCTCACTCCTGCATTTCGAAATAATCTTGCTGTTGATCCATCCCTAAATTGGCAATATTTTGGGAGTAATACTGGTTTTTTACGCACATTTCCTGGTAAGGAAAAATTTATGGTCATTTTTTTAATAAATAAGACTTATTCTTGTTGGAAAAAAATATGTAAAGTTAACTTTTAGCCAGTTATGTTTTTGAAAATATGATTTAAAACGTAGCAATAACCTTAGACTTTGAAATAACTATTGGGTGCAAAGCAAAACAATTCCCTTCTCTTATAGGTATTAATTTTTTTTTTTTTTTTGCATGTGTATATGTGATTAAAAAATGAATTTCCCCTAAAATTGTTCCTAAATATTTTACTACTATCATATTATATTGATTTTGCATTAAAAAATAGCTGCAATTAGCTATTGTTGATTAAATAAAAGCTGAAACTGCAACTGTCATCCATTTAGAAGACCATGACTATGTTAAATATCAAACTTGAAATTGTTTTATTGGATACATTTTTTTAAGTGCAGAAGCATTAAACTATGGTTATAATTTATGTATTTCTAGTTTAAAAATGGAAATGGTAAACTGTAGTAAAATTGACCATATCAGTCTCTGATAGCTTATATCTAATAATGTGACTTAATGTTTTATAAATTATCTAAATCTTTTGTATTTCTTTTATACAAATTATTTTAAATTAATTGTACTCAAATATAATTAATAAGTATAGAAATATAACTAACTAGTTTTTGAGTAATACTGTTTCAATTTATCTTTATTTCAGTTCCAATCTCTGCAATATTTAAAAAAAATCATAATTTTTTCCATTTTGTTTGGCAATTAGTTATTGTTATTATTTTTAAGCTATCTTCACTTTCAAAAATTTTTCTTCATTTTTACAGCCACAACTTGGGTGAAGGAAGGCAGGGAAAAGCCAGACCTTTATGATTGCCGAACTCGCTCTTGGTGAGATTTAAAATTTTGATGAGATATCTAAAAATGTGTTTTATATTTGAATGAATTCCATTAAGGGCTTTATTACAGGGTTCCCTGAGGTCTTAATTTTAATAAGTGGTGACAAAAATTAAATAATGTCACTTAATAATGATATTACTTTATTTAATTATTCTCATCGCACCATTATAAGTTATTTTACATTTCCCATGTTTCAACCTTTAGTATTATGCTTCATGGATGGGACATAGTCATCATTCCTTCCATGAAGCATATTAGTATAGCACTATATATGAATATTAATATAGGGCAATACCATCCTTTATATCTTTGCAGTCTTCAGATGTATAAAACTTTAACCTAGTTTAATAAAATCAAGCAGTTCTACTAATATTTATTAACCTTTAGAAATGTAATTTTTTTAAAAAAAATTAAAACATGACTATTACAGTTTTTACATATCGTAACGTCTGTTTTTTTTTTATTTATTAATTTTATTTTTTTTATTTAAACTTATGAAAGATACTATAGATTGGAGTAAATATAAATGATACTAAGAATTGATTTAACAAAAATTACTAAAACTGCTTTTTTTTTCTAAACTGAGCTGTATGGTTTTAAAATCCTCAAATCTGATATTTGTATATTGTGAAATTACCCTATTGCAACTAACTGTGAGAGAAATGCATTAGTTCGTGAAAAAAATGAAAAGGTTTACAAAACTGTAACTTGTAATAAGGTATTCGTCGACCACAATTTTCTATTTTTTTATGAAACTGATATATATATATGTATAATTGGAAGAAACCTAATATTTCAAGTATAACTATTTAGATTGCAGATCAAAATGTGTAAAATTTAGGAATTTTTCCTCAAATGCAACACAGTTGCAAATGCAGCTTACAGGGAGTGCCAACTTAAATTTTTCAGTTTTAGTTTCACCCCTGTAGTTTGCAACCGACTTAATATCAGTTTGATTCACTCTTAAAATATGTTATCTATCTTTGTTTTAAAGATTAAGTTTCTTTACCTTTATGCAATTCTCTTTATTGCTTTTCACTATTTAAAAGTTCTTTAAATAAGTAAGATAGTGTTAATTAAACATATTTTGTGCATTTATATAAATGTGTGTATATATATAAATTTTGTTTGTGAATCAGCCTCTCACACTGCCTTTNTTTTTTTTTTTTTTTTTGATGCTATTGTATTGATATATTTTGTTTTTGTTACATTAATGTAATATTAAAAAGCACTAGGTTTGCAGCTGTAATTGTTTGAGCTGATTACTAAATTATATCTTTTCATTGTTAAATTTAAATTGACTTTTTTTAATTTTCTATAATTTTTTCTTTTTTTCCCTAAAATCCTCCCTTTTTTTGTTTCTTTCCTTGTTCTCTTTGTGTTTTTAACTTACATTTTGGGTTCTATGTGCTTGCAGCTTATGCACAGTTAATAAAACTTAATAAATTCTTAATTTTTCTTTCAAACTTTCTCTTTTCTTTTATTTATCTCTTATGTATATGTATATATATTCAAGTTAACTGTATCCTTTGTTTTCTAATATATTTACTTTGTATTTCTTTTATATTTTCAGGTATGTAAAAGCTGCAGCCTCAGCAAAAGACATAGTTATACTTGTTGATAGTAGTGGATCTATGACAGGAATGTTGTGGCTGATATTCTTTTAACATTAACAGAAGATGATTTTGTCACTATTCTTGGTGTAAGACAACTTTGTATATTAATTAAAATTATTAAAAAGTTTATTTCTAGATTTCATTTAATCTTTGTTAATAACTTTTAATCCAAAAATATACTAATGATGAGTAATGGATCATCTAGAATAATTACTGTGACTAAAAATATATAAAGATTCCAAAAATGCTTTATAAGATTTTGCTCATTTGTCTAAATTTATTTTTATCATTTTCTGTGCTATTTGAAACATTTATTCTACAGTACAGAACCCGTTATCCGGAATTCAGAAAGCCAAAAAACCGGAACAAAATTCGATAAAATTTTCCCGCCATTTTAAAAAAAAAAAAAAAAAAAAAATTCCTTATAAAATTTTAGGACTTTTTCTTTCTTTTCTTAAAGATGTTTACCTTACAATCATTTTGGAAATAATCATTAGTGTATTACTTCATCGTTTTTTCTTCTTTTTAAGATCATTACCAAATATTTTTTTTTAGTTGGGTTTAACAATAAAAAAAAAACGGCTTTTTGTAGCGATTCAGAAAACCAGAAAAATCAGTTATCCGGAATAGCGATGGTCCCGATCGTTCCAGATAATCAGTTCCCTACTGTATTATCATAAATGTCTATTATGCTTTAAAAAATAAGTGCTTGTTACTGATATTGTCAATTTTAAACTTGTCTACTATTTTCTGTTATTGCTATCGGTTGATAAATTGCTCTTTAATTTTTAATTATTTCCATTATGCAAACTAGAAAAATAAGAATTGTTCCTAAAGTTTTGGTTGTAATGTATGATTACTATTTTCTTCCCTAGTTTTCGGACGAAGTCACTCCTGTTGTTCCTTGCTTTGAAAATGCTTTGGTCCAAGCAAATGAAGAAAATATACGAGTATGAGAGTTAAATTATTTACATGAAATTTATTTGTATATTTCAATTATAAATCTGTCTATTTTTTTTAATGAATAATGTTTCGAAACTGTTTGTATGTTTTTTAACTGTTCACATTTTATGTATTTATCATTTCATTAGTCAATTTTTTAGCACGTCAAAAAAAAGTTTTTTGCTTTAGCAGAAGTTCTTATAAATTTCTGTTTCATGAAAGATATTTGGATCTATCTTTCATTAAAATTCAATGTATAATGTAATTTTTATTCCACAGCTTATTCATTTATCTGATTTAACTTATTTCAAATCTTTATACACAATTAAATAAATAAAATGCGGTGTTTGATATATGAATTTAAAATCAAAATTTCAAACCAAATATTCAGAGAGCATTTCTAACTAAAACACCACTATATTCTCTACTTTTTTTCTCTATTTAACATATTTTCTATTGTACAATTCAATCAGTTGTATAATTTAGCATATTGTTACCTTATATTTATAAATTATCCTATTTTAACTAAAACTATCCTGTCTATGAAGATAGTCTTAGCTGTCTGTGTAAGATAAGATAGTAGTAATTTGCTGTTAATTAATTGGATGGCTGGGACTTCTCAACTAAACTACAATTCACATCTCAATCTTAGTTGAATATTTTTTGGGATTGTGATTGCTTTGAAATTCTTGATCATTTGAGTGCTCAACTGTTCAATTTCTTCATTTAAGAATGTTATGAAGAAGAATTTTTTTAAATTAAATTCATTACAATAAGCCATGTGTCACTTTTTTGAAGAACAAAAATTTAGTCTTAAATTTTTCTTTCAAATTGGTTTTCTCTTAATGCATNGGAGTATGTTAGAGATTGTAATATGTTTTTATAGTTGGTGTCACGTGACTCTGACTGCTGCTGCTTTCATTTAATTTTTATTCTTTAACTTTGGTTTTTATGTTGGCAACCTTCTTGAAATGTTTTGTGTTGATTATTTAGTGTTCGAATTAGTTAGGTTTTGAAAATATCACTAAATTGAGATTGCTTTAGAATTAATAAATGTTTATTAAGTTTTAATTTGTATCTGTTTATTCATCTGTAGAACTAGTAGTTCATTTGAATAACATTAAAAAGGCGTCCGTGAAATTTATTTGTTTGCTGCGATTTACAACTTATTTTAAATCTTTATATGTAAATTAAATACTGTGTTTGAGTTATAAATTTAATTGCAAAAGTTCAGAAAGCATTTCTAACCAAAACACATCTATATTCTCTACTTTTTTTCTGTATTTAACGTATTTTCTATTGTACAATTCAATCAGACGTATAATTTAACATATTGTTACCTTGTTTTTATAAATTATCCTGTTTTAACTGAAACTATGTATGTAAGATAGTATTAGTTGTCTGTGTAAGATAAGATGGCAATTGGCTGTTAATTAATTGAATGGCTGGGACTTCTGAACTAAACTACAATTCACGTCTCAATCTTAGTTGAATATTTTTTTGGAATTGTGATTGCTTTGAAATTGTTGATCATTTGATCGTTCAACTGTTCAATTTCTTCATTAAAATTGTTTTTAAGAAGAATTTTTTTTAATTAAATTCATTACAATAAGCCATGTGACACTTTATTGAAGAACTAAAATTTAGTCTTAATTTTTTCTATCAAATTGGTTTTCTCTTAATGCATGTTATGGCATGAAGTTAAACAATATTTATGTATTTATTTTTTGTGATACATACCATAATTTTAAGCATCATACTTTTTAGGAATTTATGAAGCATATGAAAAAAATGGAGACAGCAAATATAGCAAATTTTACATTGAGCTTGATAACAGCCTTTGAAGTTCTCCAAAAAGTAAGTATCATATGTTTTAAAATTAAATAACATTGTCATTAACTTGCTGAAATTATCATTGAAACTAATATTTTGTGCAGTGATTGATTTGTAATTTTTTCCCTCCGAAAACAGGTATTTCAAACATGAAATATCTGTTTTCAATGGTTGTGAATCTATCAATTCTATAATGAATAAGTGATAAAATATTTCAATTTTAAAATACTGTGATATAATAAGTGATATTTTTCCTGAAATTTTTAGCATATTTTCTGTGTGTTTATATCATTCTGATATAATTGATCAGAAGAATAAATATGTAACTCATATTACTTTTACAAAAACCTCTAAAAAGTTTGATAGAAATTTATGAAAATTGATATTTTAAAAATTAGTGTATCTTTTAGCCTTAATAGTATTATTTCACTTTCTGTTTTATCTTTTTTGTCCATTTGATTCTCCTTGTTTTAACCTAACAGCCTAACATTCTCTGTTCACAAATATATATGACTAAAATTTCATCTATCCCTTTTAATTGTCAATTCTAAACTCCAATCAGCATAAGACATAGTTTAATTCCTATCAAACTAGTTTCTCACTGCTAGAAATCGTGAAATTAGTGCCATACAGAATAGTGTATCATGAGAAACTTTATTCTCAAAATTTCAAGGTGATAAATAGTTGTCCCTGTGGTTTTAAATTTATCGACAAAAAAAATTTTTATCTCTAAAAATATTAGTTATATCATCATAAATATAAGACAAATTTTAGTCATCTGATTTAAAAATAATAATAATAAATTATTTATGAAATGCAATGTTTTAAGTTTCTTGGAATTATTATGAAAACCTCAATCTAAAAATTATAGTTTTCAAACATATTCCAAGTTTTAAATATTTCAATTCATTAATATTTTGTTCTGACATTTTCACTCTAAACTTTGTTTTTGAACTTGTATACATATTTCAGCTTAAAATCTAAAATTTGTTATATATTTATGTTTTTTAAACATTAAAAGTTTTTTTTTTTTTTTTTTTTTTTTGGACCTTTAAAAAGAGAAACTTAGGGCTCATTCCACAATAACTAAATGCTTTTGAATTTGACTAAAAAATTTTTTGTGAATATGTGAGTACTGAGGTCAATCTTTTATCGATTTAAAATTTTGAATTTCAAGAAAAAAAATATTTTACAATGCTTCGAAAATTTTATAGTAGAGAGAAGATTTTATGCAAAGCTGACTAAAATGCCTAGATGTTGTTTAAAAAATCAATTCATAAGTTGTTTTAGTATATTACCTACTATTGTTTCTAAAGAAATGACTATGCTATCGGGAAAGATGGTAGTTGGTGGATTTTGAAATATACAAAAGTGTCAGGAACCTGTTTATTAGCCATCTTTTTTTAATGATAATTTTATTATTTAGAAAATAATATTCTACATGTTTTTTTTTTTTTTTACAAGCTACATAATTACAGAGATTTGAGTGTTTTCAAAATATTTAACATGTTCTTCCACAAAGCTGTGAAAACTGCAATCAAATAATATCGAAAATAATTAATAAGTTAGCGAAACCTGTTTACTTTCTCAAAATTTCCTTATGTTAAGGATCTGTTCTGCCAAAACAACTTAATTGTAACCGTCTGTTTACAGGCTTTCTCTTTACCTAAATTTAATCCGCTGTAGCACAGCAACTCCAGTGATCCAGAAGGCGCTACTAAGATATCTAATCATATATATTATGTAACATATTAACTTTCAACACTAAGAAACTTCTTATAGTTGCCTTGACAACAAAAGAATAAGAGCAATCATATTTAGAAATTTAACTTAATTGATATTTTCATATTGTGAAGAGTAGTGTATTTACTGAATGCTTGGACTGTTTTCTTGTGGAAAAGAAAGATTTGTTTATTGTTTTGTATGTATGATGTGAGAGGCCATAGTAAGAATCTTGGATTAGCAATGTGAATTTTGATGTTGTAAATAATGGTATTATGGCTTTGAATTTGTTTGGTGCGAATTTTATGATTATTGAATAATTGCTAGCAACTTCATGTGTATCTCTCGTATTCATGATATCTAATTTGCTTTACATTAAAAAAAAATTTTGGCTCCAGGAATGCACTATTTTCTGAACGTATTCTTGTATCAACTTTGGTATTGTTAACAAGAACAGATATTTTATCAATATCAAATATTTTTGTTTTTCAATTGTTTTCATTCTAGTAAAACTAAAAATAACTTTTACTTTATTGTTGCAGTACAATCGATCTGGATTGGGTACTCAATGTAATCAAGCTATTATGATAATTACTGACGGAGCTCCTAATACATTTGAAGACATATTTAGGCGTTACAATTACCCAAATATACCTGTAAGTTTACTTGTCCTTATAAGACAGCAGTTATCAATTAAATATAATGTTGTTTTTTTTTGTTATTTAATCAAATTGAAGCAATCTTGCTTAATTTTTCTACTAATTTTTAGGTCAGAGTATTTACATACCTAATTGGTAAGGAAGTTACTGAATCACATGAAGTAAATTGGATGGCCTGTGCAAATAAAGGTTTGTCTTTTNTTTTTTTTTTTTTTTTTTTTTTTTTTTTTTTGAACTATGTTATTATTTGGTTTTATCCAGCCTAGTCAAATTATATCAGGTTTACGTTGAAATAATGCTTGATTATAACATTAAATTAAGACAATCACCTTCTACACTGTGTATGTTTGTAACTTTTATTAAATTATGTTTAACTGACTTAACAGAAATCATAAATAAAACTTTAATCCTACTTCTCTCCATTGGTACAAGCTTCATGTGCCCATTATTTGCAGTATGGGCTTTGTATCCAACTTTCCTGTTACTTTAACTTGGTCTAGCTTGTAACTTATAGCTTTTTGTACTACTTGATATTGTCCAACTGACCAAATCTGAGTTTTATTCTACAGTGCCATTTAGCAGAAAGGGAGAGTTATATTAATTTCTAGATGCAAAATCTGCTTAAATAATTACTAAAACAAAGCATTATCAAATGATTTTACTAAAAATAAATCTTTAAACAACAATAAACTGCAGAGTAAAAATTAGTGATGTAAAAATTAAAACTTTTCTGATAAATATTTCAAATAATTGCTATTGACAGAGAAATAGTCTACACTCTCTTTCATTCATCTCTGAATAAAATGGTGAATGCCTATTTCTAGTTCCATGCGATATCTGATAATTGTCAGCAGTAATTTAATCAAAACTGACTGGTCCCTATTTTATTCCTCTTCCCAATTTTGCCCATCTCTCCTATTTACAAAAAATTAGTGATCACAAAGATATTCATTCTTGTATAAATAATTATTTCCTGAATTTTGAAATAAATAGCATTTAAGAGAACAACACTGAAATATAATGCAAGTTGTTTTATAGTAATCAATGAATAAAAACTAGAGAACAAATTTTATTTTTTGTCAAAACTGGACTCAGAAAACTTAAGAAATTTAATTGTCATATTGTGTGTGCTGTCAGATTTTTATTCCGCCTCCTTTTAGTGATTCAAATACCTGTCTAGACATCAATGTTGTTGAAATTTCCATTGCCTGTTATGATATTTTGACTGCGGCTTCATTTTGTAATTTATGATAGAATCAATGCAAATATCTAGTTGTGTTAGTACAAAAAAATTTTACTCTGGATTAGAAATATAAACATGGCTTTGTGATTATTTAACTTAATTTAAAAATTTTTAAACAAAAATTCATATTTTATTTTATTTTTTTCAGTTTTTCATTTTATTCATTATGTATGTGTATGATTTTTAGTCTTCCACTCTCAAGGGCTTTAATATATTTTACTGTTTTCCAGGTTTTTATACACACATGGCTACACTTTCTGAGGTTCGGGATAAAGTTCAGGTCGGTGTATATTTTTTATGCAAACTTTTTTGTCTCTAGATTATTTGGTTCAATAATCTTTTTTTTTTTTTACTAAAAATTTTATTACTGGTTGTTCTATATTCATATTACATATGAATATACAATTCTATATTCATATTACATATGAATATACAATTCTGTATTCATATTACATATAAATATAGAAGGGCTTATTCAAATACTATGAAACCATGTTTTAGACTCAAATAACAGTTTATTGTTAAAGGATTACTTATAAAAATCTGATTTTACATGAAAAAATATGAAGAAATTATGAGAAAAATATGTGAGAAAATAAGTATTTTTAGTATTTGTGCAATATAGTACATGAATTATTCTATAAAAAAATACCAAATTGGGTGTAATTAATTGGAACTCGCTAAAAACATACAATTTTCTCACATGCACCAATTCATAGTCTTGGACTTCATGGATTTTAATCAGAATAAAATTGAAAACAAATGTGAGATGAGGTGAATATTTTTACTAAGAATTTAATGGTTAATATTTCTTAAAATTAAGACTGCAATGTGATCTCTTTTTTTTATCATATTCTACAATTTTGTTAAAAATCATGTAATGATTTTTAAAAGACTCCTGAAAGCTCTTTTGTCACTCATATCTTTTCCTTTTATCAACATTTGAAATGCATAAATCTTTTTAAAAAGTTTTTACCAAACATTTGGGGCAAATTTTGTCGGGTATCAATTTAATGAACTTCTATTCTTACTGTTTCAGAAATATGTGCCAGTTATGAGCAGGCCTGTTGTTTTGTCTGGTACACGACCATTTGTATGGACATCTGTCTATGCAGATGTGCCGGTGAGTTGTTAATTTAATCCTTTTTAGTGTTTAAATCTTAATTTTTTATGTAAATGTCTGTTTCTATGACACAGATGTTTTTATCAATATATTTAATATGAACTATAATTAATAATTGAATAAATGTTTCTTAATGTCTCTTATTTTGCGAATATCCAATATATGAATAATGAATGTACTCTATATATTGTAATACAAATATAATTTAAGAAGTTTTACTTCACTATGTTTTATTATTATTAAATTAATAATTTTTTATTTAAACTTCATAAGTTAAATATTTCCACATGCGTTTGACATATTTTTACATTTTTCTGCAATAAAAATTTTTTTAAATAATAGTATTTGAGCATGTATCGGAACATTGTTTTTAAGTAATAAGCTAATAAACTCAGCTATATCATTTTAGAGGCAATTTTTATACCACTTTAGCTATACTACTTTAAAACTTGCATGTTTTTTGGATTTCTTTTAAAGCTTTAAGGATCTTAAAAATCATTTTTTAAAACATAAATTATTTTAAGCATAATGCTTCATGATTAATAATTTTACACTGTGCACTAATCTATTTTTTCATTGTTAATTTTGATGAAATTTTATTTGAGTCCTTATTACTATTTTTCTCATCAGTTTAAGAAAAAATTAGAGCCAATCTAATTTTCAAAAATAGTACTTGGTATAATTTCTTATATTTCCTGCTTTTAAACAAAATTCAGGCAACTGACCTCAACCTAGCAGAATGGAAAGATAGAGAATTTGAGCAAATTCGTATCAAACTAAATCAAATGCGAATTCAGCAGTGGCATTCTGCCCAAGAAGATGAAGATTATGCTGATCCTGATAGTACACCTGAGCCCGAACACGAAACAAAAGAGATTAGGGTTTGTGTTTTGTTCTAAAGCTAATGACCCTATGTTTTGCTTGATTCCCAAATCAAATCCTGATGTTTGTTGTCTCTAGAAAATTACTGAACAAGCAAATGACTCCAAATTCCATAAATCCATACCCTGTAATTTCAAAGTTTACCTTAACATTCACTGATTCAATTTAGGGTCTTGAAGAAAACCTATAATCTCATTTAGACTGATGAATTAATATAAAAAAATGAACTATAGAATAGGAAATTGTGTTTTTAATAAAAATTATAAAAACTAAAATTAGTTTTGAACTAATCTTATTATTTTAACTTTCTTTGATTTTTTATAACAACCAATAAAAATTGTGTGTTAAACTAAAATTTGGAATGACGTTTTTTTTTTTTTTTTTTTTTTTTTTTTTTTNGAAGATGTCTTTTGTATTACTTGAAATATTAATGGATAACTCTTTAACAGTGTGCATTTGTTATATTTCTCTGCATGCTGCATTCTGGAATTTTACATTATCCCATGAAATATTCTGCGTGTGCAATTTATGTATTAGATTCCTCGTAGTAGGTTCAAGAAAAAACAGGTGTGTACCCTATTATGTTCTGATTGCAATTTATACTGTGTTATTATTCTATTTTTACCCTTAAAACCTTTTTAGAAAAAATTCTATTATTTGGCTTGTATTTTTCCTGGATTTTTAAATGAACTATATCTATAATATGATTTTGTCTTTAAAATAATGTATTTATGATTTATTTATCTGTATGTTAATGGAAATATATAAAACATAAACATTATATAGGATGCCTAGTGTTTTGAGACAGAGTATGAAATAGAAAATTATTATTACAGGGAAACCTTGGTTAAGCAGGCACTCTTGAGACTAAAAAAATTGTCTGTTAATAAGAGTTGCCCATTTACAGGAAAGGTAGACTAGCAACGAAGGCTAGGGCCATTAATTGTTTGGAATAATTGATGGCATTAATTGGATTTGGGATAAAATAATTAAATTATCTATAATAACTATTCACATTGATATTTATTAAAACTTAACATAATTATAACAACAACAAAAATAGCATTTAATATATACCTTTGTTTTATATTTGTCTAATTGAAAATAAAGATGTGAAGTTTTTTTAAGCTGCTGCATGTCACCATTTCTTCGTGATACAGTTTTAAATCATTTAGCATTTTTATATCAATTCATCATTTTTGGATAGATATATACCCTCTAACACCTCTCCACCACTTGATAGAAAACATTGCAATACCTCTTTGAAGGTAAACCATTCTATAACTCTTTGAAGATAAAACGTTCTATAGAATGCTTGTACATGCCAGAGAATGCCTGAATATAATGTAAAATAATGTTTAATCATTTCATTCTTTGTGGGCCAATTCTAGGTACTATGATATAAAATACCGAATTTCATACATTGCTAGTAGCGTGTACAGTAGAACCTTGATGGCTCGTTTCCCGAGGAACAATTCATTACAATGTGTAGATACAGGAAAGCTGCGAATGCAGTTCAACAAAAATATTAAATAATGACCTGAAAACACATAAAAAGTTGTAAAGAAATAATAGGCTTGAAAATCAATAAATTTAAAATAAGTATTAAAATTTACTTGCTATAAAAATATTTACGATGCAAAAAAAAAAAGGAATGACTGATTTATATATTCATTTAAAATATTTGGAACTATTAGATTAAAAACATCACTCTTCTAACAACAACTAACTTTTGACATTTTCGACAGATTGTTCTTCATCTTCTGTACTTTCGTGTGACTATGGAAAGTCTCTCATTATTTCAAAAGCGTTTCGCAAATGTTGGCAATGGTTGATGTTCCATTTCATTCTCATCAGTATGACTTTGCACTTTTTCAGCTTCTACAACCATTTCTCAAGCTGACAATTCCACAAATGTCACCATTTTCATGAAATGAATTCATAAACATCAAGCGTGATTATTGAGGCGTTTTTCTCAAACTCTAACAAATCCTTGATTTCTTCTCTGTCAGTATCATCAGAAATTGCTTCTTTCTTTTTTTTCTTATTGATATTTTTTTAGTGTTGTGAAATTTCTGAACAACAGATGTGGTAATCTGCCGGTTTCATTACAAAAACTGATATTATTAACATTGTAAGAACAGCATTTGGGATTGAACTGTTCAAACAAGACGATACATGGGGGAACATTGGATTGAGGTTCTACTGTATCATATTTTATTTTTAAGAGTTTTCAATGTGATTGACAAAGCTCTTAAACAGGACATTATAATATTACAAAATTATTATTAAGATAATTAATTTTTGAAATCAGAAACATCAATGTCATGTTTATTATTTCTTTAAATACTATGCTAAATATATTAAAATTCCAAACGTCATTAAAGCTTGCATTATACTTTTTTGTAGTTTTGTACATTACTATTGAGTTTGTAGCAATTAGTCTAAAGTACTGCTATGGTGTATTTTACTCATCATCCGAATTATTAAATTACTGCAAAAAAATCTGAAAATAAACACCTGTTTTAATGAATTCCAAACAATTTGATGTATTAAGTCGTCTAGGCTCTTTGTTTATAATGTCTTTTTTTACATTCTGAGTTTTTTTCTTATATTTAATTCTCATTTTGTAGAGCATATAAAGTAATATAAGAAAGCAAAAGTAGATAACATCAAACAAACTAAAACAAATGAAAAAAGAATCTTTTGTTTCACATACCATGCATGTCACAGCATAAATTTCTGTTATTAATCAGCTGCTTTATAAGGGTTTTATCTTATTATTATTGCATTATCTAAGTCTTTTATTGTACTTATTTATTTTTGCATACCATGAATCTTTCACAAAGTTAGATTTTTTTTTCCTGCAACAAATTTCAAACCCTAACCTGCCCATAGCATTTTAATACATTTAATTTGAAAAACAAAATTAGTTATCTATTATTTAGAGTATCTAAAGACAAGAATGCAAAAAGACAAGTGGTTCAATGGATGTTTGCTTTAACAACGTTTTGGTGTTAATAATTGTTGGGGTTTTTTTTGCAAAAAACTTTATTTAACAAATCAAAAAGTAGTGCCATTAATCTCTGTAACAAAAAAGCTAGCTTATTTTTCTGTAAATAAGTTTATAATTCTAATGAAATGTTACACTTTTCAGCCTCTTCAATTAATGACTACAGTTGCCACTCCAGTATTTGATAAACGAAATGTAAGTATACTGGTCTAAATTTGCAAACTGTGAAACTTGCAACATATTTCCCTTCTTTATTCTTGTAAGAGTTTTTTTTATTTTTCTGTAAGTTGGAATAAACTTTCTTTTAGATCAAGTCCGCTAGTTTATTGGGAGTGGCTGGTACTGATGTTCCTATCAGGGAAATTACTAAATTAACAAGAGCTTATAAGGTATCTTTCATATTCACTCTATATACTTTTTTATTTATATTGTTGCATTAGTAAAATAATTTGTGTCAAGAAATCAAATCAGCTGTAAACTTGATTTCCTTTTTACAGTATTATAGTAAATTAAATATGAGTAATTTTTTAACATTGTTTAAATTAATATGTTTTTAAAGTATGTTCTGAACCCATTCTTTCTTAAATTTTGGTTACCAAAAGTTTTCAAGTTTAGCTATTGAACCTGAAAAACACTATTACTTTGAATTGTTGCCCTTATCTAGTTTCATTTATTGCGTTTTTATTTCCATCATTTTTCTGCCAGGAAGCTATTTTTTCACATCGAAACAGTTTTTCGTATCGAAATTACAATGAATTACTAAGAATCAAAATATATTAAAAGTGTCTAGGTTTCTTCTCTTCTGATAAAACTTTATTCAAATTTTAAAGGCTAGCATTAATATTGCATGAAAAAAGGTTTTGACGAAAAAAAGGTCAATATCACCATGATACTAATTGCAACTGATTCTGAATTCTACATTTTTTTATTATACAGAATGTCTTTTACATCAATCACTCAGTACAATAATATTTAATGCCCTGAAGCAAATTTTGACCAATCACAGAGTGGGTTCTGTTCATATGACTTTTTTCTATTTAATTTTTATTTTTGATAATCATGGCAGCCGTTGAGTGCTGTAAGATTGCATTTTTCTTCTTATGTGAAATCTTTAGTACTTGGTATTAAGTGTTTTTTTTTTCTTAGATGATTAAGGAAAATATTAGCTTATGGAAAACGGCTGATATTAATAATTGCTGTTTATTATTTTTACTAATTAAATCTTCTTAATCATTTTTTTTAAGAGAATTTATTTTAGAACATTGAAATATTCACTATGTGTTGAGGAAATTTTTATACATTGATGGTAGAATATACTTAGTTAAGTTATTCACTTCTACAATATTTACTATCTGCTGTGCAAGTTCTGTCCTGTGCACCACTTCACTATTTATTTTGGTTTCACAATGCAGAACAAACTCCAAGTCATTTTCTAACTGTCAGAGGGTCAATAAAGTTACCTTACAGCTTTTACATTATATACTATTCAAAACTGTAATTTAAAAAGAAGTTGAAACTATCTTAGAAATCCAATTATGAGCAAAATTAAAATTTTGAACGAATCATCTAAAGAAAAAAATGTTATCTACTTCCTATGCTTGAAATTATTTTTGTGGTAGATAATGTTGAGTGTGTGACTCATTCTACTACATCTTTAGAATTTGATGTCTTTAACTATTCTGTAAATTTAAGAAGAAAAAAATCTGTATTTTCCTGTTTGACTTTAAATAAAGTTTCAAATTTTAAAAACATAATAATTTGCTTGCAATAAAAACACACACACATCCTCATATTAACTAAAACAGTTTTACTAATACAGTAGGGAACCGATTATCCGGAACGATTGGGACCATCGCTATTCCGGATAACTGATTTTTCCGATTTTCTGAATCACTACAAAAAGCCGTTTTTTAAATTGTTAAACCCAACTAAAAAAAATAAATTTTGAAAATAAACTTAAAAAGAAGAAAAAACGATGAAGTAATACACTAATGATTATTTCCAAAATGATGGTAAGGTAAACATCTTTCAAAAAAGAAAGGAAAATCCTAAAATCTTATGAGGGAAAAATTTATTTTTTTAAAAAAATGGTAGAAGATTTATTGAATTTCGTTTCGGTTTTCTGATTTCCGGATTAACGGGTTCTGTACTGTATCTTAAGATTTATATTTAAAATGATTTTGATTTTACTATCACAAAGTAACGTATGCAATTATTTTTATTATATTTATTTAAGAAATTGTAGGGGCAAGAACTAAGTTTCAAACCTATATTAAATAATTTTATGAAGCTTTTTTTAGACACTAGTTATTTAAAATTTCATATAGCGGTTGCAGTGTGTTTCGTATTTCATGTATTGTTAAAAGTTTGTATTATATGCATAAAAATATTTATTCTTTTTTTTTTTTTTTTTAGATTGGAGTCAATGCTTATTCATTTGCAATTACAAATAATGAGCATGTACTTTTTCATCCAGAGCTTAGACCATTGGTAACTTTTTTTCAATGCTACTTAATATTACTTGTTTATTAAAATGTTTTGAACTAATATCAGCACTTATTTCTCAAATTAAATTCATTTCCCATAACTTTTTCTAAATTTTAATATAATATTTTTTTTGTCTCATAGAATAATTTCTTCTATTAAATTTTTAAAAAATTTGTTACGCAGAATTTTGCATTCGTATCTTAAACAACTCAAATCATTTTTCAATCATCAATTTATTGATTTTAAATTTTGTAAATATAGCACTTTTCAACATCCTTCAAATTACTATTCTCTCCTTTCTTCGTTCTTTATTATTTTACACTTTAAGCAAACTGTGTATTTCCTCCTCATATTAGGCACTGTAATAATTATTATATTATAGGCACTGATCTAAATGGGAATAATAGTTAAATATTTAGAAGAAAAAAAAAACTTTTGTCTCTTATAGATTAGCTTATAGCTACTTTTTTTGAAATTCGACTATATAGATTCGAACCTGCGTATATGTTATCTATATTAATTCCTTTAGTAGTCTTTTTTTTTTTTTTTAATTTATTCTGGAATTAGATATGCTCATAATAAAACATATAATATACGGTAACAAAATAAGGAAATGGAACGCCTTAATAACTTTTGATCTGATTATCTGAGTTTCGTATACTACGACATACCTGCCAAGTCTTCTGTTTTTTAAAGAAGACTCCTGTATTTTATGACTATCTCCTGTTTACTCGTATATTCTCAAATTTCTCCATACATGTTGAAGAAATTTTTTTTTTTAAATTTTTACAAATTAGCAATAAAATATCCGCTGATGGCAAAAATACTTCTTATTCCTTGACAGATGGTGTTATTGCCAATACTGCAGTATGTTGAGTGTTAATAGTTTAAGTAATTATAAATAATGATTTAAAATGATCTTCTTTAGATTAAGATTTATTTACTTATTTTTTACTTCGCTAAATGTAAGTGCCTTTATTATTTCCAATTTTGACTTGCATGATTATGCTTGATGTATCAAAATTTTACTTGTAGCCTAAAAAAATGTCGCTAGTAAAATCTCCATTATTTTATTTCTCCCATGTTGGCAGGTATGATACAATGCAATCTTAATGATTTCAGAAACTAACTTTAAATATGCTAAAATGCTTGCCAATTTCCTTAAAATTTAAATCACACACAAAAATATACTTTATTTGATTAAACCATTACTTATTACAGCTCATTTGAATTCTTAGCCCTCAAAATATGGCGGTAAGCTGAAATCTGGAAAAATGGTTTCGATGATTCAGAAAGGAATGTGGTCAAGAATTTGGTCCCTTAATATTAATTTAACTTTTTGAATATTTCACCATATCTCTGGAACTAATTAAGAAGTCAAATACTTTTTACACACATACAGGTCGAGCTCGTTTATCCAAAGTAAAATCTATGTAAAGCAAAATAATTTGTTTAATTATTTATTATTGATTGTAATAATGATAAAAAAAAATATTTGAATTTTGCAGTACATAAATTTTTAACTATATAGTTTTAAATGGCAAAATACAAAATCTGATTAGAATCGGTCAAATTGTTCTTTAGAAATAAAAATTTATGAATGCAATTTTTTTTCTTTATATATATTATTCAGAGTGAAAAATGAACGGGAAGGGTTTCTAACTTTCATTCGCTCACCTGTCTAAATTATTGGGTTCATATTTTCCAAATTTTTGCTGCCCCCATATTTTGAAGATGAATCAAAATCCCTTGAAAAAAGGTTTGTTTATTTTAACAAATTATGTTTCTGTATCTTATTTCTTAACTTAAAATATTACCTACACAAATTAATTGGCATATTTAATGTTAGCTCTTTGAACTATTAAGATTGCATCTTAGTGTATGTAGAACTGATCATTAAATCAAAAGTTATAATAATGTTCCTTTTTCTTTTTTTTTACTGTATTTTTATCACTTGCACATATTTTGTTTGATTTTTTGTTACCAAGTATGTAAGTCCATTGTACAAAAAGCTTCTTAATAACCATTATTCTAGCAGTTTTTAAAGAAAAAAAAATTAAGTAAAATACATTGCAATGCAATATGTAGATTTCATTGCAGTGCATATTATGTTTACTGTATTTCAGATAGTACTTTGTATAAAAATAATTTTACTAAGGGAACTAATAAAAACAATATTTTTCTAATGAAGTAATTGAAAAATTAATTGCTTTAAAAAATTTAATTGGTACATTTAGTACAGTTTTAGTAGGCCAAGACCTTAATAATTTTTTTAAATTGAAGCATTGGATTAAAATGCAATCTTTTGTACTATTTTGATATGATAAAAAATATTTTCTTACAGTTTCAAGAGTTACTTAAGCCAGGATACAGAAATGTTGACCTAACAGAGGTTGAGTTAGTTGACACAAATTCCGGTTTGTATGTAAGTTATTCTTTCCTATTTTTTGTTCTCTGTGTTAATATCCTTGAAAATTTGAAACTTATTAACAAAGCCAACTCATATGATTATTTTTTGTGAAAACAAAGTTATGGTTTTAAGTATCTTTATATAAATTACTCCCTCTGTATTGAAATATATCAATATTCTTTCTCCTTTTTTTTTTTTTTTTTTTTTTTTTTTTTTTTTTTTTTTTTTTTTTTTTTNTTTTTTTTTTTTTTTTTTTTTTTTTTTTTTTTTTTTTGACATTCTTAGTTTAATTGCTTAAATTTGCCTCAATGTTTTGTCTTGTATTATTAAACTCTATATTCAGTCTGATCTTCTTTATTAAAATTATTTTCTGGTTTGAAACTTTAATTTGACTTGTATTTAGGAATTTATAAAAACACATAAAAATTTCACAGTAAAGACGCAATAATGCTGTGAGTTATTGGAAAAAATTCAGAAAATTTTATACTAGCCAATGGCCATCTGTAGCATTTTTAACCGTAACCATTTTTTAAAACATGTTTATACTTTTTCCAAAAATGAAAATTTTAAGCAATTTAAAAAATCTGTTGATATTAATAATGTAAGGCATTTCCCAAAATATGGTAAACGCTACAGTGTTCATATCTAAAATGAAGAAAAATGTAAGAAATAAGCCTAAAATAAAGTAATTTTTAGAATATTAAAAAAATATTTAGTTAAAATATTTTCATGTCTGCTAAAAAAAAAAATTTACATGCTTGCTAATGCACACAGGTGCATTTTGAACGAAAAAGTGCCAATTCGGTTGCGACTAGCGGGCAATTTTTTATTCACCATTTGTTGTATTTAGTCACCTTGTATCCAGTGCCAGCCCTTAATTGTGCGTTATTTTTCTGTAAATTTTTAACTTGTGTAATTCTGTAAACGTTAATAAAAAAAGAACAAAAAATTTTATTTTCATGTTACATCTTAAGTTATTCTTCACTATCAAACTTGCTATTTTGAAATATTGACTTGAAATTCACCACTACTCCTTCATTAAAGACTTTTTGTTTGAATATCTTGTTTTGCTTTGCATGTAGAAGAAAAGGGAGACTTTAACCCATGATTCAACTAATACTGGGAATATTTTTCCTCAATAATGTGGCTGCTGAGAGTTACGAGCTGTATGCAAATCGATTTTCGTTATTAGACGGTCTGTGTATATTTAAAACTACACTGGTTATCATAAATTAAGGAAAATTCACAAAAATCGCGATAACTCAAGAAATTACACATGGAATTTTATGAAACTTACCCACAATATACAACACATAGTAAGGTATTAAACAACATAAAAAGAAATTATCAGACATTAATAGTAGTATAGAAATTAGCACATGTATAAAATAAACAAATTGGAAGTATCGGTTTGCAATAGAAAAAGTACCTTTAATATGGAATATGATTGCCTCTAGAAGCAATACAGCACAAACAGCGATGTGTGATGCTTTCAATTATGCGGTCTATCAGTTCAATAGGAAGTGAGAGCCATTGCTCTT